AAAAAATGTGTAAGGTATCGTTAGTGTAAGATTATTGGTTTATGGTTTTAATTATGCTCCCTATTCATCTAATCTCGATATTAAAATACATATTCACATATTTATGATCATTTATTCAAAATTAAGTATGTACATTGATAGAATATAACAGTTCTAATCTAAATATAAGAATTGTTGCGGAATATGTCTTTGACTGCACTAAGAGGTGAGTAAAGAAGCTACTGCTTATTTATACTTATTGATCCAGCAACGGCCCTAATATACATCTTAGTCAATAAGAAACTGCCAATTCATGTCAATATTTGCTTTGGAGGGACTGCACGGGTGCGCTATGGAAACCTGCTATTAACCGGAAAGTTGACAAAGTATATAGTTTCAACAGGCTTTGACAATGGGCCGTAGTTGTTGGCAAAATAAGGTCGACTCTAAATTCAATTGCAGCTTTGTGACATAACTTTCGATGCGACATCTGTCAAAAAAGCTGCAACTAGTGCGTGCAGAAAACAGCACTCAAATGTACTTTGATCGTGTTTCTTTTAGTCTGTTTTAAATCTACTTGATTTACGAATAAACTGAAGCAATTTGTTAGGTATTGAAGAGCCCGGTACTCATCTCCCAACACATCTCTGCCAAAAACCTCACACCTTATCTTTGCAAAGGCGGGGCAGAGCCACAGAAAGTCTTCCGACTTCTCATCCTATTCAAAGCAGGAAGAGCAAATGGCGTTGTCATGGATGCCGTTCACAGTCAGGTGTTTGTGCCACGTAAAGTGTCCAGTCAACAGTCCTACAAGTTATTATATATTTCTGGAAAATGGGCGTAGCCACGCCCCTTATGATAACATGTGTATAGCTTGGTAACCGCTGCACCGATTTCTCTCAAACTTGCCCCAGTTGTTGACCTTGATAAGATATACCACACGGCACACAAATTCTTAAAATCGGACAATAACCACGCCAACATCTCATATAACAGTAATTTAGAGAAATACAAAATCTTCAATAAATCAGTAACTACAAAAGTTAATTTACTCAAAATTGATGTTTGCAATAATTCTGTAGAAAAAAATATGGTTATAATACAATTTTTGAGAGCAGGCGTGGCACAGCCAACTTTTGACCATATATAGTGTGATTATTGTGCTTGCCATAAAAAAGCAAAACTTTGAAACAGGACTTAAGTTACGCCTACTTTTCATACAACGGTAAATTTCAGAAATGCTTGGAACTTCGATATTTCGCAATTTAAGCACGCTAATTTACTCAAAATTGATACTAACAATAATCCTTGAAAAGATGTAACATTATTATATAATTTTGCAAAATAGGTGTGATGCCGCACACATCCAACTATATAAATAAATATCATGCATATTCAGGCATGGGCAGAGTCCGAACACACAATGGGCCAGCTTTTCTCAATACTCATCGCAATCTGGATGTTAATGTTGACTCGGTATTAAAATAATTTGTATCTATACTTTCGTTAATTGTATGTGAATTTTCTTTGAGATGTGCTGGCTTAGATCCACAATTAAATACAATATGCTGAATACTCTA